TTTCGATCTTTCTCATTGATCTTTCTTATTCAATCTTTCTCCCGATCTTTCTTATCTTTCTTATTCAATCTTTCTTCTTTTCTCATCCGATCTTTCTTATTCAATCTTTCTCACCCGATCTTTCTCATCAATCTTTCTTATCCAATCTTTCTCATCTTTCTCATCCGATCTTTCCATTCAATCTTTCTTCAATCTTTAATCACCCGATCTTTCTTATTCAATCTCATCGATCTTTCTTATTCAATCTTTCTCACTTGATCTTTCTCATCCGATCTTTCTTATTCAATCTTTCTCATCCTATCATTTTCTCATCCAATCTTTCATTATCTTTCTTGATCTTTCTCATTTTTATCTTTCTTATTCAATCTTTCTCATCTTTGATCTTTTTTTCATCTTCTTATTCAATCTTTTCTTTCTCATCCTGATCTTTTTTATCCAATCTTTCTCCCGATCTTTCTCATTTGATCTTTCTTTTTCAATCTTTCTCACTTTGATCTTCTTTATTCAATTTTTATTCAATCTTTTATTCAATCTTTCTCATCCGAGCTTTCGATCTTTTCTGATCTTTCTCATCGATCTTTCTTATTCAATCTTTCTCATCTTTCTCATCATCTTTCTCATTCGATCTTTTCTCATGATATCTTTCTCACACTTATTCACCCTTTCTCATCTGATCTTTCTTATTCAATCTTTCTCGCCTTGATCTTTTCTAATCTTTCTTTTCTCTTTCTCATGTTTTTCTTATTCAATCTTTCTCCTTGATCTTTCTCAATCTTTCTTATTCAATCTTTCTCCTTGATCTTTCTCATGATCTTTCTTATTCAATCTTTCTCGCCCGATCTTTCTCATCAATCTTTCTTATTCAATCTTTCTCGCGCGATCTTTCTCATCGATTTTCTCATTCAATCTTAATCCATGATCTTTCTCATCCGATCTTTCTTATTCAATCTTTCTCATTTGATCTTATTTCATCTTTCTTATTCAATCTTTCTCGCTCATCTGATCTTTCATCCGATCTTTCTTATTCAATCTTTTCTCCTTGATCTTTCTCATCCGATCTTTCTTATTCAATCTTTCTCCCGATCTTTCTCATCCAATCTTTCTTATTCAATCTTTCTCGCTTGATCTTTCTCATCCAATCTTTCTTATTCAATCTTTCTCGCCCGATCTTTCTCATCCGATCTTTCTTATTCAAACTTTCTCGCCCGATCTTTCTCATTCAATCTTTTCTTAACTTTTCAATCTTTCTCACCCAATCTTTCTCATCCATCTTTCTTATTCAATCTTTCTCACCCGATCTTTCTCATCGATCTTTCTTATTCAATCTTTCTCACCCGATCTTCTCATTCGATCTTTCTTATTCAAATCTTTCTCCGCGATCTTTCTCATCTGATCTTTCTTATTCAATCTTTCTCACCCGATCTTTCTCATCCGATCTTTCTTATTCAATCTTTCTCACTTGATCTTTCTCATTCAATCTTTCTTATTCAATCTTTCTCACCTGATCTTTCTCATTCGATCTTTCTTATTCAATCTTTCTCGCCTGATCTTTCTCATCCAATCTTTCTTATTCAATCTTTCTCGCCTGATCTTTCTCATCCGATCTTTCTTATTCAATCTTTCTCGCCCGATCTTTCTCATCCAATCTTTCTTATTCAATCTTTCTCCCGATCTTTCTCATCCAATCTTTCTTATTCAATCTTTCTCGCCCGATCTTTCTCATTCGATCTTTCTTATTCAATCTTTCTCACCCGATCTTTCTCATCCAATCTTTCTTATTCAATCTTTCTCACCCGATCTTTCTCATTCGATCTTTCTTATTCAATCTTTCTCGCCCGATCTTTCTCATCCGATCTTTCTTATTCAATCTTTCTCGCCCGATCTTTCTCATTCGATCTTTCTTATTCAATCTTAATCACCCGATCTTTCTCATCCGATCTTTCTTATTCAATCTTTCTCGCCCGATCTTTCTCATCCGATCTTTCTTATTCAATCTTTCTCGCCCGATCTTTCTCATCCGATCTTTCTTATTCAATCTTTCTCGCCCGATCTTTCTCATCCGATCTTTCTTATTCAATCTTAATCACCCGATCTTTCTCATCCGATCTTTCTTATTCAAGCTTTCTCGCCCGATCTTTCTCATCCGATCTTTCTTATTCAATCTTTCTCGCCCGATCTTTCACATCCGATCTTTGTATTCAAACTTTCTCGCCCGATCTTTCTCATCCGATCTTTCTTATTCAATCTTTCTCGCCCGATCTTTCTCATCCGATCTTTCTTATTCAATCTTTCTCGCCCGATCTTTCTCATCCGATCTTTCTTATTCAATCTTTCTCGCCCGATCTTTCTCATCCGATCTTTCTTATTCAATCTTTCTCGCCCGATCTTTCTCATCCGATCATTCTTATTCAATCTTTCTCACCTGATCTTTCTTTCTCATTCGATCTTTCTTATTCAATCTTTCTCACCCGATCTTTTCATTTTCTCTTATCCGATCATTCGATCTTTCTTATTCAATCTTTCTCGCCCGATCTTTCTCATCTGAGTCTTTCTTATTCAATCTTTCTCGCCCGATCTTTCTCATCTGATCTTCTTATTCAATCTTTTTCGAACTTTCTCATCCGATCTTTCTTATTCAATCTTTCTTATTCAATCTTTCTCGCCCGATCTTTCTTATTCAATCTTTCTGGCCTGATCTTTCTATCTTTTCAATCTTTCTCGCCCGATCTTTCTCATCCGATCTTTTTATTCAATCTTTCTCGATCTTTCTCATTCGATCTTTCTTATTCAATCTTTCTCACCGATTTCGATCTTTCTCATCCGATCCTTTCTTATTCAATCTTTCTCGCCCGATCTTTCTCATTCGATCTTTCTTATTCAATCTTTCTCGCTTGATCTTTCATCCGATCTTTCTTATTCAATCTTTCGCCCGATCTTTCTCATCCTGATCTTTCTTATTCAATCTTTCTCGCCTGATCTTTCTCATCCGATCTTTCTTATTCAATCTTTCTCGCCCGATCTTTCTCATTCGATCTTTCTTATTCAATCTTTCTCGCGCGATCTTTCTCATCAGATCTTTTCTTATTCAATCTTTCTCACGCGATCTTTTCATTCGATCTTTCTTATTCAATCTTAATCACCCGATCTTTCTCATCCGATCTTTCTTATTCAATCTTTCTCGCCCGATCTTTCTCATCCGATCTTTCTTATTCAATCTTTCTCACCCGATCTTTCTCATCCAATCGTTCTTATTCAATCTTTCTCGCCCGATCTTTCTTATTCAATCTTTCTCAATCTTTCTTATTCAATCTTTTCTCACCCGATCTTTCTTATCCAATCTTTTAATCCGATCTTTTTTCTTATTCAATCCTTAATCGCCTGATCTTTTCTCATCGATCTTTCTTATTCAATCTTTCTCGCCCAATCTTTCTCATCGATCTTTCTTATTCAATCTTTCTCACTTGATCTTTCTCATCCAATCTTTCTTATTCAATCTTTCTCCTTGATCTTTCTCATCCGATTTTTCTTATTCAATCTTTCTCGCCAATCTTTCTCATTCGATCTTTCTTATTCATCTTTCTCGATCTTTTCTCATTCAATCTTTCTCATTCAATCTTTCTCATCCTTATTCTTTCTCATTCAATCTTTCTTATTCAATCTTTCTCACCCGATCTTTCTCATTCGATGTATTCTTATTCTCGCCCGATTTTTCTCATCAATCTTTCTCATTCAATCTTTCTCCTTGATTGATCTTTGTATTCAAGCTTTCTCTTTTCTAATCATCCTCTTTCTTATTCAATCGTTCTCACTTAATCTTTCTGATCTTTCTTATTCAATCTTTCTTCTTTCTCATCCAATCTTTCTTATTCAATCGATCTTTCATTAATCTTTTATCTTTTCTCGCCTGATCTTTCTCATCTGGATCTTTCAATCTTTCTCACCTGATCTTTCTCATTCGATCTTTCTTATTCAATCTTTCTCACCCGATCTTTTCTCATCCGATCTTTTCTTATTCAATCTTTCTCGCCCGATCTTTCTCATCCGATCTTTCTTATTCAATCTTTCTTGCCCGATCTTTCTCATCTGATCTTTCTTATTCAATCTTTCTCGCCCGATCTTTCTCATCCATCTTTCTTATTCAATCTTTCTCGCCCGATCTTTCTCATCCGATCTTTTCTTTATTCAATCTTATTCAATCTTTGCCCCCCGATCTTTCTCATCCGATCTTTCTTATTCAATCTTTCTCATGATCTTTCTCATCCGATCTTTCTTATTCAATCTTCGAATGCCGATGATCTTTTCATCCGATCTTTCTCATTCTTTCTTATTCAATCTTTCTCGCCCGATCTTTCTCATCCAATCTTTCTTATTCAATCTTTCTCACTTATCTTTCTCATCCGATCCTTCTTATTCAATCTTTCTTTCCGATCTTTCATTCGATCTTTCTTATTCAATCTTCTCGCCCGATCTTTCTCATCCGATCTATTCAAACTTTCTCGCCCTGATCCGATCCAATCTTTCTTATTCAATCTTTCTCACCCGATCTTTCTCATCTGATCTTTCTTATTCAATCTTTCGCCCGTTCTTTCATCCGATCTTTCTTATTCAATCTTTCTCGCCCGATCTTTCTCATCCGATCTTTCTTATTCAATCTTTCTCACCTGATCTTTCCGATCTTTCTTATTTAAATCTTTCTGATCTTTCTCATTCTGATCTTTCTTATTAATCTTTCTCGCCCGATCTTTCTCATTGATCTTTCTTATTCAATCTTTTCGCGATCTTTTCATCCGATCTTTCTTATCTAATCTTTTTCGCCCGATCTTTCTCATCCAATCTTTCTTATTCAATCTTTCGCCTGATCTTTCTCATTTGATCCTTATTCAATCTTTTTCTCACCCGATCTTTTTCTCATCCAATCTTTCTTATTCAATCTTTCTCCTTCCGATCTTCTCATCCATTCGATCTTTCTTATTCAATCTTTCTCCCGAACTTTCTCATCAATGATTTCTTTATTCATCCGATTCGATTTTCTTATTAAATCTTTCTTATTCAATCTTTCTCATGGATCTTTCTATTTCTTTCTCATTCGATCAATCTTTCTTATTCAATCTTTCTCAAAGGATCTTTCTCATCCGATCTTTTCTTATTCAATCTTTCTCGCGCGATTTCTCATCCTATCTGATCGCCTTTCTTATTCCAATCTTTTGTACCTGATAGTTTTCCATCATCTGATCTTTCTATTCAATCTTTCTCGCCTTAAATTTTCACACCTGATCTTTCTTATTCAATCTTTTAATCACCATCCAATTTTCTTATTCAATCTTAATCACCGATCTTTCTCATCCAATCTTTGTATTCAAACTTTTCGCCCGATCTTTTCTCATCCGATCTTTTCTTATTCACCTTTCTCGCCCGAACTTTCTCATCCGATCTTTTCTCATTCAATCTTTCTCGCCCGATCTTTTCTCATCCGATCATTCTATTCAATCTTTCACGCCCGATCTTCTCATCCGATCTTTTTATTCAATCTTTCTCACCCGATCTTTCTCATTCGATCTTTCTTATTCAATCTTTCTCGCCCGATCTTTTCTCATCCGATCTTTCAATTTTTACCTGACTTTCATCCGACTTTCTTTATCCAATCTTCATTCAATCTTTTCATCGCCTGATCTTTTCTCGCCCGATTCTTCTCATCCGATCTTTCTTTCTTATTCAATCTTTTCTCGCCTGATCTGGTTTTTTCTTCGTCAAATCTTTCTCATCCGATCTTTTTCCTCTGATCTTTCAACCTGATCTTTCTCATCCGACATTTCTCACCTAATCTTTCTCATCCAATCTTTTAATTCGATTTTCAAATTTTTCGCCCGATCTTCTGATCTTATCCAACCATTCTCATCCGATCTTTTCTTATTCAATCTTTCTTCGCCTGAAATTTTCTCATCCGATATTTCTAATCGGATCGTTCTCGCCCGATCTTTCTCATCCAATTTTTCACACCTTATTCAATCTTTTCTTCGCCCGATCTTTTTCATCCGATCTTTGTATTCAATCTTTTCTTCCGCCCGACTTCTGTTTCTCAATGATTTTTCTTATTCAGTCTGAGATCAGGCCCGGTGGCTTTCTCTCTCTGCTGTAATCTATCGATGTTCTTATTCAATCTTTTTTCCACCTGATCTTTGGTATGCCAGCACACACCATAAACCTTCTTTAAATCCGATCTTTCTTTATTGCTTTATGTTTCACCGAGGCGATCTTTCTGAATTCGACCTGTCCTTTCCTTATTCAATCTTTCCCCTCACCTGATCATTTCTCATTCGATCTTTCTTATGTGGTCGTTTTTCTTTCGCCCGATCTTTCATCCGATCTTTTCGTTCATCCGATCTTCTCATCTGGATCTTTCTTATTCTGTTTTCAACCGATCTTTTCTCATCCGATCTTTTCTTATTCAATCTTTCTCGCCTGATCTTTATCCAATCTTTCTATTCAAACTTTCTCGCCCGATCTTTCTCATCAGATCTTTCTTATTCAATCTTTTCTTGCCTGATCTTTCTTATCCGATCTTCCTTATTCAATCGATCTTTTCTCGCCATGATCTTTCTTATTCAATCTTTCTCCCGATCTTTCTCATTTCTTTTATTCAATCTTTTCGCCCGATCTTTCATCCGATCTTTCTTATTCAATCTTTCTTACCCGATTTTCTCATCCGATCTTTCTTATTCAATCTTTCGCCCGATCTTTCTCATCCTATCTTTCTTATTCAATCTTTTCGCCCGATCTTTCTCATCTGATCTTTCTTATTCAATCTTTCTCGCCTGATCTTTCATCCGACCTTTCTCATTTCTTATTCAATCTTTCTCGCCCGATCTTTTCATCCAATCTTTCTTATTCAATCTTTCTCCCGATCTTTCTCATCAATCTTTCTTATTTTCTTATTCAATCTTTTCATTCGCCCGATCTTTCTCATTCGATCTTTCTTATTCAATCTTTTCTCACCCGATCTTTCTCATTCAATCTTTCTTATTCAATCTTATTCATCTTTCCCGATTCTTTAATCACCCGATTTTTCTCATTCGATCTTTCTTATTCAATCTTTCTCACCCGATTTTTCATCCAATCTATTCAATCTCTTTCTCAATCTTTCTCATCCGATCTTTCTTATTCAATTCGATCTTTCTTATTCGATCTTTCTTATTCGCCTGATCTTTCTCATCCAATCTTTCTTATTCAATCTTAATCGCCCGATCTTTTCCATCATTCGATCTTTCTTATTCAATCTTTCTCACCTGATCTTTTTCCAATCTCAATCTTTTCTCTCATTGATCTTTCTTATTCAATCTTTCACATCTTTTCGATCAATCTTTCTTATTCAATCTTTTCGATCATTTCATTTCTTTCATCCAATCTTTTCTATCTTTCTCACCTGATCTTTTCTTATTCATCCGATCAATCTTTTCTTATTCAATCTTTTCGCCCAATCTTTCTCATTCGATCTTTCTTATTCAATCTTTTCTCGCCCTGATCAGACTTTCTTATTCAATCACCCGATCTTTCTCATCCAATCTTTCTTATTCAATCTTTCTCACCCGATCTTTCTCATCCGATCTTTCTTATTCAATCTTTCTCGCCCGATCTTTCTCATCCAATCTTTCTTATTCAATCTTTTCGATCGTATTCAATTCTTTCATCTTTCTCATCCGATCATTCTTTCTTATTCAATCTTAATCACCCAATCTTTCTGATCTTTCTTATTCAATCTTTTCTCGCCCGATCTTTCTCATCTGATCTTTCTTATTCAATCTTTCTCCCGATCTTTCTCATCCGATCTTTCTTATTCAATCTTTCAACCGATTTTTCCATTCGATCTTTCTTATTCAATCTTTCTCATCCGATCTTTCTCATTCAATCGTTCTTATTCAATCTTTCTTATTGATCTTTTCATCCGATCTTTCTATCCAATCTTTCTTATTCAATCTTTCTTCTCACCTTTCTTATTCAATTTTCTCGCCCGATCTTTCTCATTGATTCTTATTCAATCTTTCTCTCGATCTTTCTCATCCGATCTTTCTTATTCAATCTTTCTCATCCGATCTTTCATCCGATCTTTCTTATTCAATCTTTCTCGCCCGATCTTTCTCATCCGATCTTTCTTATTCAATCTTTCTCCTTGATCTTTCTCATCCGATCTTTCTTATTTATTCAATCTTTTTTCCGATCTTTCTTCGATCTTTCTTATTCAATCTTTCTCGCCTGATCTTTCTCATTCGATCTTTCTTATTCAATCTTTTCGCCCGATCTTTCTCATCCGATCTTTCTTATTCAATCTTTTCTCGCCCGATCTTTCTCATCCGATCTTTCTTATTCAATCTTTCTCACCCGATCTTTCTCATCCGATCTTTCTTATTCAATCTTTCTCGCCCGATCTTTCTCATCAATCTTTCTTATTCAATCTTTCTCTTTCTTTCTCATTCAATCTTTCTTATTCAATCTTAATCCCGATCTTTCTCATTCGATCTTTCTTTTCAATCTTTCTCACTTGATCTTTCTCATCAATCTTTCTTATTCAATCTTTCTCACCCGATCTTTCTCATCCGATCATTTCTTATTCAATCTTTTCTCTTTGATCTTTCTCATTCGATCTTTCTTATTCAATCTTTCTCGCCCGATCTTTCTCATCCAATCTTTCTTATTCAATCTTTCTCACCCGATCTTTCTCATCCAATCTTTCTTATTCAATCTTTCTATTCAATCTTTCTCATTCGATCTTTCTTATTCAATCTTTCTCGCCCGATCTTTCTCATCCGATGTTTTTATTCAATCTTTCTGCCCGATCTTTCCTCATGCGATCTTTCTTATTCAATCTTTCTCGCTTGATCTTTCTCATCCGATCTTTCTTATTCAATCTTTCTGTTGATCTTATCATCTGATCTTTCTTATTCAATCTTTCTCCTTGATCTTTCTCATCAGATCTTTTCTTATTAAATCTTTCTCTTGATCTCTTTCTCATTCAGTCTTCCCTTATTCAATCTTTCTCACCCGATCTTTCTCATTCAATCTTTTCAGCATTCAATCTTTCTCGCGCGATCTTTCTCATTCGATCTTTCTTGTTCAATCTTTCTCACCCGATCTTTCTCATCCGATCTTTCTTATTAAATCTTTCTCGCGATCTTTTCTCGTTCGATCTTCCTTATTCAATCTTTCTCGCCCGATCTTTCTCATCCAATCTTTCTTATTCAAACTTTCCTCAACAGTCTTTTTCTCATTCCGATCTTTCTTATTCAATCTTTCTCATCCGATCTTTTTACCTCTGTTCAATCTTTTTTATTCAAATCTTTCTCATCCGATCTTTCTTATTCTGATCTTCGATCTTTCTCATCCGACATTCAATCTTTCTCATCCAACCTAATTCTCTTTCTCACCTGATCTTTTCTCACCTGATCTTTTTCAATTGATCTTTTCTCGCCCGATCTCAATCATCAATCTTTCTTATTCAATCTTTTCCCTCACTTGAAATTCCTCACTTTCATCGGACCCGATCTTTCTTTTTTTATTCAATCTTTCTCCTTTTTCATCCGATCTTCTCGATCCTGATTTGGATTCGTTTTTCTTATTCAGTGACTTCTTTCAAGACTTTCAAATCATGTTTTTCTTTCAGGGCGGCATTCGATCTTTGGCTTGCTCTCAATCTTTCATCGATGTTCCGCCTTTGATCTTTCTCTTTTTATAGATCTATGCGCAGGCTTCATGATCTTATGGTATCACCACCATAAAACCAATTTCTGTAAATTTCCATTGAGGAGTCCCTTTCTTGAAATTCACTCTGGGCTTTTCTCTTTTATGTGAGTGCTTCTTTCTCATGAAAATCTTTCTGAAATTCAATCTTTCTCATGGTCACCTTGACCGAATCTTTCATCTAGGCTAACGGCCAAATTTTCATTTTTATTCAAACTTTCTCGCTTTATGTGTGGTCCGATCTTTTTTTCATCTTTATCAATCTTTCTTTTATTCAATCTTTCTGCCTGATCTTTTCATTCGATCTTTCTTATTCAATCTTTTCTCTCACCTGATCTTTCTAATCCAGTCTTTCTTATTCAATCTTTCTCGCCCGACCTTTCACATCCAATCTTTCTTATTCAAACTTTCTCCTTGATCTTTCTCATTCGATCTTTCTTATTCAATCTTTCTCCCCGATCTTTCTCATCCAATCTTTCCTCTATTCAATCTTTCTCGCCCGATCTTTCTCATCGATCTTTCTAATTTAATTCACCTGATCTTTCTCACCCGATCTTTCTCATCTGATCTTTCTTATTCAATCTTTCTCACCTGATCTTTCATTCGATCTTTCTTATTCATTTCTTCAGGATCTTTCTATTCATCCGATCTTCTTTTCTTCATTCTTTCAAATCAATCTTTTTTTATTCTCATCCAATCTTTCTTTTTCGCCCGATTTTTCTTTCATCATCCGATCTTTCGTAATTATTCAATCTTTCTCCACCTCTGCATCTCTTTTTATAGATCCATGCGCTAGGCTGAGGGACGACTGATTCTATTATTCAATCTTTCTAGATTTTTCGCCCGATCTTTCTCTGGGCTCTCTTCCAATCTTGCCTTCTTATTCAATTCAACCTTTCCTCATGGTCACCCTGACCCGTCCCCCTTGGTCTAGGCCATCCATTTTAGTTCATAATTCTTTATTCATCTGCTTTTTGCGTGGTCGTTTTTTCAATCTTTTCATCTTTGATCAATTTTTCTCATCCGATCTTTCTCATTCAATCTTTTTTCGCCATGATCTTTCTCATCCGATCTTTCTTATTCAATCTTTCGACCTTTCGCATCCAATCTTTCTTATTCAAACTTTCTCACCTGATCTTTCTCATTCAATCTTTCTTATTCAATCTTTCACCCTCTTTCCATCCAATCTTTCTTATTCAATCTTTCCCGATCTTTCTCCCGATCTTTCTTGATCATCATTCGATCTTTCTTATTCAATTTTTCTGTTTCACATCCGATCTTTCTCATCCAGTCTTCTTATTCAATCTTAATCGCCCGATCTTTCTCATTCGATCTTTCTTATTCAATCTTTCTCACCCGATTTTTCTCATCCGATCTTTTTCTTATTCAATCTTTCTCGCCTGATCTTTCTCATCCGATCTTTCTTATTCAATCTTTCTCACCCGATCTTTCTCATCCGATCTTTCTTATTCAATCTTTCTCGCCTGATCTTTTCTCATCCAATCTTTCTTATTCAATCTTTCTCGCTTGATCATTCTCATCCAATCTTTCTCATTCATCCTGATCTTTCATCCAATTCAATCTTTCTCGCCCGATCTTTTCTCATCCGATCTTTCTTATTCAATCTTTTCTCACCTGATCTTTCTCATTCGATCTTTCTTATTCAATCTTTCTCGATCTTTCCGATCTTTCTCGCCTGATCTTTCTTATTCAATCTTTTTCAATCTTTTCCGATCTTTTCGATCTTTCGATCTTTCTCTCCTGATCTCATCCGATCTTTCTTATTCAATCTTTCTCACCCGATCTTTCTCATCCGATCTTTCTTATTCATCACCCGATCTTTCTTATCGATCTTTCTTATTCAATCTTTCTCACCCGATCTTTCTCATCCGATCTTTCTTATTCAATCTTTCTCACCCGATCTTTCTCATCCAATCTTTCTTATTCAATCTTTCTCGCCCGATCTTTCATCCGATCTTTTTCTTATTCAATCATCCGATCTTTTCATTTCTTTTATTCAATCTTTCTCGCCAGATTGATCTTTTCATTCGATCTTAATCTATTCAATCTTTCTCACCCGATCTTTTTCTCATCCAATCTTTCTTATTCAATCTTTCTCACCCGATCTTTCTCATCCGATCTTTCTTATTCAATCTTTCTTTCGCCCGATCTTTTCATCATCTTCCTTATTCAATCTTTTCTTGATCTTTCTTCAATCTTTCTTATTCAATCTTTCACTTGATTTTTTCTCATTCAATCTTTCTTATTCAATCTTTCTTTTCAATCTTTAATTGATCTTTCTCATTCGATCTTTCTTATTCAATCTTTCTCGCCCGATCTTTTCTGATCCAATCTTTCTTATTCAATCTTTCTCGCCCGATCTTTCTCATCCGATCTTTCTTATTCAATCTTTCTCACCTGATCTTTCTCATCCCATCTTTCTTATTCAATCTTTCTCCTTGATCTTTCTCATCGATCTTTCTTATTCAATCTTTCTCGCCCGATCTTTCTCATTCGATCTTTCTTATTCAATCTTTCTCCTTGATCTTTCTCATCAATCTGATCTTTCTTATTCAATCTTAATCGATCTTTCTCATCGATCTTTCTTATTCAATCTTTCTCCCCGATCTTTCTCATCCGATCTTTCTTATTCAATCTTTTGATCTTTCTCATTCGATCTTTCTTATTCATCCGATCTGATCTTTCTTATTCAATCTTAATTCACCCGATCTTTTCTCATTCGATCTTTTCTTATTCAATCTTTCTCCTTGATCTTTCTCATCTGATCTTTCTTATTCAATCTTTTCGCTTGATCTTTCTCATCCGATCTTTCTTATTCAATCTTTCTCGCCCGATCTTTCTCATCCGATCTTTCTTATTCAATCTTTCTCGCCCGATCTTTCTCATCCGATCTTTTATTCAATCTTTCTCGCCCGATCTTTCTCATCAATCTTTCTTATTCAATCTTTCTCGCCCGATCTTTCTCATCCGATCTTTCTTATTCAATCTTTTCTCGCCCGATCTTTCTCATCCGATCTTTCTTTATTCAATCTTTCTCACCCGATCTTTATTCAATCTTTCTCATCTTTCTTATTCAATCTTTCTCGCCCGATCTTTCTCATCCGATCTTTCTTATTCAATCTTTTTCTCGCCCGATCTTTCTCATTCGATCTTTCTTATTCAATCTTTCTCGCCCGATCTTTCTCATCAATCTTTCTTATTCAATCTTAATCACCTGATCTTTCTCATCCGATCTTTCTTATTCAATCTTTTCTCGCCCGAATCTTTCAATCTTTCTCATTCGATCTTTCTTATTCAATCTTTTCCTTGACCGATCTTTCTCATTCGATCTTTCTTCAATCTTTCTCTTGATCACCTATTCAATTTCTCATCCGATCTTTCTTATTCAATCTTTTCTCGCCCGATCTTTCTCATCCAATCTTTCTTATTCAATCTTTCCCGATCTCACTTCCGATCTTTTCGATCTTTCTCATATCTTTCTTATTCAATCTTTCCGCCCGATCTTCTCATCCGATCTTTCTTCTTATTCAATCTTTCTCGCCCGATCTTTCTCATCCGATCTTTCTTATTCAATCTTTTCGCCCGATCTTTCTCATCGATCTTTCTTATTCAATCTTTCTCACCTCATCCGATCTTTCTCAAACCGTTCAGCCTGGGTCAAATCTTTTCTCTCCATCTTTTCTCCTGATCTTTCAACCCGATCCCATCAACAGGCTAGGCATGGTCTCATCCAATCTTTCCATAATGTTTCATGATTTTACCTGATCTTTCTCAATTCTTTTCACCCGACCTTTCTTATCCAATCATTCTCATCCTATCGTTTCCCATTTTTCTTTTCATCTTTATGCCTCTTCCGTCATCGGATCTTTCTCTTTCCCGATCTTTTTCACACCTTCTTTCATATTTCTCTCGTCTTTTTTCATCCGATCTTTCTCTTTCTGATTTCTTTCTTTATTCAATCTTTCTTTCAAACCGATCTTTCTTCATCAGATGAGATCAGGGCAAACCAGTAGCTCCTGCTCTCTGCCGTAATCTATCAATCTTTCTCGCCTCTGACCTTTTTTTCTCATCTAGGCTGAGGGACGACATGATTGCTTATTCACACACCTTTCTCTCTCTGTAAATTTTAAAATATTGAGGATCCCCTTTCTTCATTCCAACCTCTTCTTTTGCTTTATGTCAATGATTTCTTTCGATCGTTTCTCCACCTTCCCAATTCAACCTTCCTCTTATGGTCACCTGACCAATCCCCAAAGGCTTAATCCAATTCTGTTTTTGAGTTCATAATTCTTTCTCATTTTTTTGCGTTAGTCGTTTTCGCATTTGGTCTTTTCATTTTATGCCTCCGTTTTTCTTATTCAATCTTTCTTATTCAATCTTTCTCATGATCTTTCTCATTCGATCTTTCTTATTCAATCTTAATCACCCGATCTTTCTCATTCGATCTTTTCAATCTCTCTTGATTTTTCTCATCCTTTCTTATTCAAACTTTCTCACCCGAACTTTCTCATTTCAATCTTTCTTATTCAATCTTTCTCACCCGATCTTTCTCATCCAATCTTTCTATTCAATTATTCAATCTTTCTTAATCACCCATCTTTCTCATTTCGTTCTTCAATCTTATTCAATCTTTCTCGCCCGATCTTTTCTCATTCAATCTTTCTTATTCAATCTTAATCACCTTATTCAATCTTTCTCGCGATTTTTTCTCATCCGTCTTTCTTATTCAATCTTTCTCACCCGATCTTTCTCATCCAATCTTTCTTATTCAATCTTAATCACCCGATCTTTCTCATTCGATCTTTCTTATTCAATCTTTCTCACCCGATCTTTCTTATTCAATCTTTCAATATTAATATCTTTCAATCTTTCTTATTCAAAACCGCCTCCTTGATCTTTCTCATTCGATCTTTCTTATCTTTCTCGCCCGATTTTTCACATTCCAATCTTTCTTTATTCAATCTTCAATCTTGATCTTTCTCATCCGATCTTTCTGTTCCAATCTTTTCTCTTGATCTTTCTTATTCAATCTTTCTCGATCTTTCGATCTTCATCCTCTTTAACTAATCTTTCTCTGATCATTTTCAGTCTCTTATTCAATCTTAATCACCCCGATCTCATTTCATCCGATCTTTCTTCTATCTTTCTTATTCAATCTTTCTCGCTTTAATCTTTCTCATTCGATCTTTCTTATTCAATCTTTCTCACCCGATCTTTCTCATTCAGTCTTTCTTATTCAATCTTTCTCCTCATCAATCTTTCTTATTAATCTTTCTCACCCATCCGATCTTTTCTTATTCAATCTTTCTCACCCGATCTTTCTCTCATCCGTTCAATCTTTCTTATTCAATCTATCTTTCTTTCCCGATCTTTCTCATCGATCTTTCTTATTCAATCTTTCTCAGTCCAATCTTTCTTCGAAATCTTTCGATCTTTCTCATCAATCTTTCTCTTGAACTTTCTTTCTTATTCAATCTTTCTCCTTGATCTTTCTCATTCGATCTTTTATTCAATCTTTCTTATTCAATCGTTTAATCACCCGATCTTTCTCATCGATCTTTCTTATTCAATCTTTCAATCTTTCTCGCCCGATCTTTCTCATTCAATCTTTCTTATTCAATCTTTCTCGCCGATCTTTCTCATCCGATCTTTCTTATTCAATCTTTCTCACCCCGATCATTTCTCATCCAATCTTTCTTATTCAATCTTTCACCCGATCTTTCTCATTTCCGATCCCGATCTTTCTCATTTCTCATCCGATCTTTCTTATTCAATCTTTCTGGCCCGATCTTTCTCATCCGATCTTTCTTATTCAATCTTTCTCTTGATCTTTCTCATCCTATCTTTCTTATTCAATCTTTCTCACCTTGATCTTTCTCATTTCCGATCTTTTCTTATTCAATCTTTCTCGATCTTTCTCATCGAGTCTTTCTTATTCAATCTTTCTCCTTCGATCTTTCTCATTCAATCTTTCTTATTCAATCTTAATCTTGATCTTTCTCATCCGATCTTTCTTATTCAATCTTTCTCGCCCGATCTTTCTCATCTGATCTTTCTTATTCAATCTTTCTCACCCGATCTTTCTCATCCAATCTTTCTTTCTTCAATCTTTCTCAATCTTTCTTGATCTTTCTCATCAATCTTTCTTATTCAATCTTTCTCACCCGATCTTTCTCATCAATCTTTCTTATTCAATCTTTCTCTTGATCATTTCTCATTCAATCTTTCTTTTCAATCTTTCTTCGATCTTTCTCATCCAATCTTTTTCTTATTCAATCTTTCTCACCCGATCTTTCTCATTCGATCTTTCTTATTCAATCTTTCTCAATCTTTTCTCCGATCTTTCTCATTCAATCTTTCTTATTCAATCTTTCTCTCACCCGATCTTTCTCATTCATGTTTCTTATTCAATCTTTCTCACCCCGATCTTTCTCATCCAATCTTTCTTATTCAATCTTTCTCACCCGATCTTTCTCATTCGATCTTTCTTATTCAATCTTTCTCCTTGATCTTTCTCATCCGATCTTTCTTATTCAATCTTTCTCGATCCCGATCATTCAATTCCTCCATTCGATCTTTCTTATTCAATCTTTCTCATGATCTTTCTCATCCGATCTTTCTTATTCAATCTTTCTCGCCCGATCTTTCTCATTCGAACTTTCTCATCCAATCTTTTTCTTATTCAATCTTTCTCAACCGATCTTTCTCATCCGATCTTTCTTATTCAATCTTTCTCGCTTGATCTTTCTCATCTTATTCAATCTTTCTTATTCAATCTTTCTCATCCAATCTTTCGCCGATTTTCATCCGATCTTTCTTATTCAATCTTTCTCCTTGATCTTTCTCATCAATCTTTCTTATTCAATCTTTCTCGCCCGATCTTTCTCATTCGATCTTTCTTATTCAATCTTTCTCACCCGATCTTTCTCATTCGATCTTTCTTATTCAATCTTTCTCACCCGATCTTTCTCATCCGATCTTTCTTATTCAATCTTTCTCGCCCGATCTTTCTCATCTGATCTTTCTTATTCAATCTTAATCACCCGATCTTTCTCATCCAATCTTTCTTATTCAATCTTTCCTCGCCCGATCTTTCTCATTCTGATCTTTCTTATTCAATCTTTCTCACCCGATCTTTCTCATCCAGATCTTTCTTATTCAATCTTTCTCACCGATCTTTCTCATCAATCTTTCTTATTCAATCTTTCTCACCCGATCTTTCTCATTCAATCTTTCTTATTCAATCTTTCTCTTGATCTTTCTCATTCAATCTTTCTTATTCAATCTTTCTCGCCCGATCTTTCTCATCAATCTTTCTTATTCAAATTGATCTTTCTCATCCCTTTCTTTTCTCATCCAATCTTTCTCATTCAATCTTTCTCAATCTTTTCTCTTTCTCCGATCTTTCTCATTCGATCTTTCTTATTCAATCTTTCTCACCCGATCTTTCTCATCGATCTTTCTTTCTTAATCACCCGATCTTTCTCATTCGATCTTTCTTATTCAATCTTTCTTCCAATCTTTCATATTCAATCTTTCTCACCGATCTTTCTTATTTCTCATCTGATCTTTCGATCTTTCTTTCTTATTCAATCTTTCTCCCGATCTTTCTCATTCAATCTTTCTTATTCAATCTTTCTCGCCCGATCTTTTCATCCGATCTTTCTTATTCAATCTTTCTCGCCCGATCTTTCTCATCATCTAGTCTTTTCTTATTCAATCTTTCTCCTTGATCTTTCTCATTCGATCTTTCTTATTCAATCTTTCTTATTCTCTTCAATCTTTCTCTCGATCTTTCTTATTCAATCTTTCTCGCTTGATCTTTCTCATTCGATCTTTCTTATTCAATCTTTCTCACCCGATCTTTCTCATCAATCTTTCTTATTCAATCTTTCTTCTTTCTCCATCGATCTTTTATTCAATCTTTCTCCTTGATCTTTCTCATCAATCTTTCTTATTCAATCTTTCTCACCCGATCTTTCTCATTCTTTCTTATTCAATCTTTCTCCTTGATCTTTCTCATCAATTTTCTTATTCAATCTTTCTCGCATCCAATCGTTTGATCTTTCTCATCCGATCTTTCTTATTCAATCTTTTTCTTTCTCCCGATCTTTCTTTGTTCAATCTTTCCGATCTTTCTTTCTTATTCAATCTTTCTCGCGATCTTTCTCATTCGATCTTTTATTTCAATCTTTCTCGCCCGATCTTTCTCATCTGATCTTTCTTATTCAATCTTTCTCACCCGATCTTTCTCATCCGATCTTTCTTATTCAATCTTTCTCCTTGAACTTTCTCATTCAATCTTTTCTCATCCGATCTTTCTTATTCAATCTTTCTCACCCCGATCTTTTTCATCATCTTATTCAATCTTTCTCGCCCGATCTTTCTCATCAATCTTTCTTATTCAATCTTTCTCTCACCGATCTTTCTCATCCGATCTTTCTTATTCAATCTTTCTCGATCTTTCTCATCGATCTTTTCTTATTCAATCTTTCTCCCTGATCTTTTCTCATCCGATCTTTCTTATTCAATCTTTCTCGCCCGATCTTTCTAATTCGATCTTTCTTATTCAATCTTTTCTCATCCGATCTTTGTATTCAAACTTTTCGATCTTTCTTATTCAATCTTTTCTCGCCCGATCTTTCATCGATCTTTGTATTCAAACTTTCTCACCCGATCTTTCTCATCCAATCTTTCTTATTCAATCTTTCTCGCCCGATCTTTCTCATCTGATCTTTCTCAATCTTTCTCACCCGATCTTTCTCATCCGATCTTTCTCTTTCAATCTTTCTCATTAAATCTTTCTCGATCTTTGATTCTTTTTCTCCGATCTTTCTCATCGATCTTTCTTATTCAATCTTTCTCACCCGATCTTTCTCATTAAATCTTTCTTGATCTTTTCAATCTTTCTCTCTTTGATCTTTCTCATTCGATCTTTTCTTCAATTCAATCTTTCTCAATCTTTCTTATTCAATCTTTCTCATGTTTCTTCGATCTTTCTTATTCAATCTTTCTCGATCTTTCTCATCCGATCTTTCTTATTCAATCTTTCTCATTCGATCCTTTCTTATTCAATCTTTCTCACCCGATCTTTCTCATCCGATCTTTCTTATCCAATCTTTCTTGCCCGATCTTTCTCATCCGATCTTTCTTATTCAATCTTTCTCGCCCGATCTTTCTCTTTCTTTCTTATTCAATCTTTCTCGCCGATCTTTCTCATCTGATTTTCTCAATCTCGATCTTTCTCATTCAATCTTTCTTATTCTTTCTTATTCAATCTTTCTCTTGATCTTTTTTTCGATCTTTTTATTCAAACCCGATCTTTGATCTTTCTCATCCGATCTTTCTTATTCAATCTTTCTCGCCCGATCTTTCTCATCATCTTTCTTATTCAAGCTTTCTGATCTTTCTTATCTTTCATTTTTCTTATTCAAACTTTCTCCGATCTTTCTCATCCAATCTTTCTTATTCAATCTTTCTCGCCCGATCTTTCTCATCCGATCTTTCTTATTCAATCTTTCATCTTTCTCATCTTTCTTATTCAATCTTTATTGATCTTTCCATCTGATCTTTCTTATTCAATCTTTCTCTTATTCATCTTTCTTATTAAATCTTTCTCGCCCGATCTTTCTCATTCGATCTTTCTTATTCAATCTTTCTCACCCGATCTTTCTCATTCGATCTTTCTTATTCAATCTTTCTCGCCCGATCTTTCTCATTCTATCTTTCTTATTCAATCTTTCTCACCCGATCTTTCTCATCCGATCTTTCTTATTCAATCTTTCTCGCCCGATCTTTCTCATCCGATCTTTCTTATTCAATCTTTCTCGCCCGATCTTTCTCATCTGATCTTTCTTATTCAATCTTTCACTTGATCTTTTCTCATCCGATCTTTCTTATTCAATCTTTTCTCTTTCCCGATCTTTTCTCATTCGATCTTTTATTCTTTCTTTTTCTCTTTCTTTCGATCTTTCTCATTCGATCTTTTCTTATTCAATCTTTCTCACCCGATCTTTCTCATCCGATCTTTCTTATTCAATCTTTCTCACTTGATCTTTCTCATCGATCTTTCTTATTCAATCTTTCTCACCCGATCTTTCTCATCCAATCTTTCTTATTCAAACTTTCTCGCGCGATCTTTTTCTTTCTTATTCAATCTCGATCTTTCTTATTCAATCTTAATCACCCGATCTTTCTCATTCGATCTTTCTTATTCAATCTTTCTCACCCGATCTTTCATATTCAATCTTTCTCACCCGATCTTTCTTATTCAATCTTAATCACCCGATCTTTCTCATCCGATCTTTCTTATTCAATCTTTCTCCGATTCTTTCTCATCCGATCTTTCTTATTCAATCTTTCTCGCCCGATCTTTCTCATTCGATCTTTCTTATTCAATCTTTCCGATTCAATCTTTCTTATTCAATCTTTCTCGCCCGATCTTTTCTCATTTCGATCTTTCTTATTCAATCTTTCTTGATCTTTCTCTCATCTTTCTTATTCAATCTTTCTCTTTCTTTATTCAATCTTTCTTATTCAATCTTTTTCTCGATCTTTCTCATCCAATCTTTTCTTATTCAATCTTTCTCATCCGATCTTTCTCATTCGATCTTTCTTATTCAATCTTTCTCACTTGATCTTTCTCATCCGATCTTTCTTATTCAATCTTTTAATCTCCCGATCTTTCTCATCCGATCTTTCTTATTCAATCTTTCTCGCCCGATCTTTCTCATTCAATCTTTCTCGCCCAATCTTTCTCATTCGATCATTTCTTATTCAATCGATTTCTCATCCGATCTTTCTTATTCTTTCCTTGATCTTTCTCATCGATTTTTCTTATTCAATCTTTCTCCTTGATCTTTCTCATCTGATCTTTCTTATTCAATCTTTCTCACCCGATCTTTCTCATCCGATCTTTCTTATTCAATCTTTCTCACCTGATCTTTCTCATCCAATCTTTCTTATTCAATCTTTCAATCTTTTCTCTTGATCTTTCATCGATCTTTCTTATTCAATCTTTTTCTTTCTCCGACTTTCTTATTCAATCTCATCCGATCTTTCTTATTCAATCTTTCTCACCCGATCTTTCTCATCTGATCTTTCTTATTCAATCTTTCTCACCCGATC